GGACTGCAGCCCAGGGGAGTGCCCAGTGAGTTGTGGTCCAGCTGGCTTTGTACAGGAGGTGGAGGAGAAGCAGCGGGTGGCTCATTTTAAGGAAGTCAGTGTGATCAGTAAAAATTCTTGTTAACAATGTGTTATTGAGAAGATGGGTTCAGTGGCATGTAATTTACTTTAATATAACCTGTTAATTGATAAGATGGGCTTACTTGCATGTCATTAAGTTTAATAATGATTGCGCCTTGGTTGGAATATTCTGTATATACATTATTAATGTTTATGCTCTCAAACAGGTTCCACTGCTAGCATAACATTCCTTTTACCTTATGAATGCAGTATTGAACCCACATATCAGTTTAGGGTAACTGTGCTTTCTTGTTAGAAAATGTTACAACTTGGTAATGGCTGAAATGTTATTGGATGAAATATTATTATCTGTAAAGCTTTTTTTTTATTTATTCAATTCGGGATTCCATATCATCCACCAACATTTAAAATTTGTATTTTTAGGATCTGTATAGTCTACCAGCACCAGGTGCAATTTGTGAATGTTGATGTATGCATAAACATACTGTAACATCCTTTTTTACAGGATGTCAAATAGCAGATGTATGCAGAAATGTGTGAGCAAGAGTGACTGTGGTGGGTCTTCCATAGAACGCAGTGGTGAATTATTTAAAACAATAATAATGTATTATACCTTATACTGTATTTCCCATTGAAGAATGAGAAATCACATTGCATGGTGAGTGGGGGCAAAGCATTGATCTAGTGAGTGAATGTGTAACAGTGGCCAGCTAACTGTATGTTTAGGGAAAAAGATCCACGGTGCTGCTGGTGAACTTTTTTTGCTTTACAAATATCCTCTAAATTAAGTTATAAGTAATTTACTAAGTAGTTGGCACTACAGAAATTATTTTATGTTTATGAACAATCACCTTCAATGTCAAACGTTGTTACTGTTTGACCCACAAGTCATCAACCTCAACTAAACTCCCTTGAAGCCAAGGAAGTTCATAAGACAATTACACTAATGTTCTTGACACAGGACAAAACAATACGGAAACTAGAAACAAGCTCATATAATACAGCAGAACTGCCCTCATTTACAACTGTTACATGTTGTGTACATTACTCTTATCTACTGATAGCCTAGATTCAACAACTATTTGAATCTCATCTTACATGTGATCTGGAGCAAGGTACTCTGGAAATAAGTTCATTGTCTTACCTTGTCTGTGCTAAATAAGATAATTATTTATAGGTGGTGGCTTTTTTGTTTTTATTTTTTTTTAACAGCATGTCATCTCATAAAAAGTAAAAAATAAATCTAACAAATGTGAATATAATCAGCTTATCATAATAGGTCCCATTTTTGTGTGATAATATTTTAAGCTTTATTTTCTTTATACAGTTTGTAGTTATGTATGTATATGGAAAGCAAGCAATCTGTATAACTTCAAGTCCCAGTGCTGCCTGCTGTCCAGCATCTGCAGGACTGCTAATCCTAATTGCACTATCCAGTCTCTTGGGTACTACACTCAGAATTGTTATCAACATTCTGTGGGACTTCAAATCCCAGCATTATTATTCAGTGTCCATAAGACTACAAGTTTGAGCTGTACTACCCAGTGCCTATGTGACTGCATTGTTGTACAGTCTCTGAAGGATGCCAATTCCCAGCATCGTTATTCATTGTCTAAGGAACTACGAGCCCCAGCATTGTTATCCTCTGATATGCATGCTCCCTAAACTGACAGCTGCTAACACCCCATGAACTGGACAGGAGCACAGAACCACTACATTTCTTCTCATAGAGATCACACCCCAGATAGCAAGAAATTGTGCTGCAAGTTTGAAAATGACTTGCTAAACTATTGCAGACTTGCCAAGCTTCACAATTTTGTTGCACAATTACAGCAAGTCTGCATTGCAAGTCTCCAGACCAGCTAGCTTGCAGAGCTCTTGCTAAGACCTGCAGGACTCTTGCTGTAGACTTGCCAAGCAAATTTGCTACAAATTCAAAAAGTGTCAACTAGAACTTGTGCTGCAAGTATTCTGCAAGTCTACAACTTGCCAGGAATATGTGCAGCAAGTTAACAAAATTACAATTTAACCCCGACACAAGTTTGTGGCAAGTTATCCTTGCTATCTGGGACAGCATTAAATAGATTTTCTTGTGTTAGAATCCAGCATACTAATAAAGAGTCATGCACTTGCATGTTATTCGTACTATGGAAGCCCATACATTGACAAATACATTCTTACGGTCATTCTTGCATAAAACAAATATCTGGCTTATCGACAATGGCAGGTAAAAATCAATGCCTGTTTTTGTTATAAGGGGCAGAAGACAGAATTTGCAGGTTAACATATAGTACATGAAAACGGCAGAGAGAAAATGGAAGATCCTTGAAGAAATATTATTTCCTGTAAATCATTCAAAGGGTTGAAAGGTGTACTTGTTGAGGAATGTGTCCATCTATGATGTACATTAGACTCTATGGCCAGAGGTTCTGTTTGCAATGATAATTTTATATTCCAGTTGTAATTAACAGCCAAGGGAGTTTCTGACCCAGGTATCAGAGGTAAAGTTGAACTCCAGGATAAGCAAATATTGTCTAAATACAAGAGGCATGTGTATTCTTACTTGAATCTTGCTGCCCACTATGTTTTTTTTTTAGACCTGTGTAGTAATCCAGAGTAAAGTATTTCTGTGAGCATCCTGTAATGAAGACCAGCTACTACTGCTCTCTCTCCTTGTACTGTGGGCAGACTGTAGTGGCTGGATCTGCGGTGCCCCCACACCACACCACTGCTTTCTGTACAGGCAATGATGATGTCACTGACACAATTCATATATAGGTTTGTAAGGCCCCTTTTGAACGGGCATTTCAATCAGGTCTACCTGTCAGCTTTTCAGGTGTACCTGATCAAAAGCCCGATGTTAGTCTATGGCAGCTGGATCTAAACGCATGTCCATTTACATCTGGTTAACTCTGGCTCCGGCCAGGTTCAAAACAACAAACGGATCAGATTTCCATTTCGACTGACCTGACTGTGCCGGATCGGAGGTAATCTGTTGTACACAGACACAAATGGACACATGTTAAAGTGTAACTATACTTCCCTCTTTCCAGTGATGCTCAGATGGTGCCAACATCTTTGCCCAGTCTTCTTCCTGGTTAGGGGTTTTCAGCCATCTTTAATGGGCGTGCTGGGCTGACATAACTCCCGCACAAGCGTGTTTGTCCATTCATCCCGGTATATGCCGACATTGTACATTGAGCTACATATGAATAGCTTATTGTGCATTATTCCACTTACAGCAGATAGATTTTTTTCTTTCAGATATACGTTTGCCACAGAAACAAAATAATTTCTAGCAACAGCCCTTTGACTGCTGTCATTACCAACTTTGCAGGAAGTGTCATAAGTGACAAGTATGACTTGATTTTATGTGATACACAAACATTTTAAATAGATTTTGTTATCTACATGGTATGAATAAAAGGTGGCAATCACCAAAATATAACAAAGAAGTGGACTTTGCAAGTTGTTTATCATAAACAATTAAAATGTCATTAGGTATGAGGTTTATTCTGTGTTTTCCACAGTGTTCACATAATTATCCAGTGTAAGCAAAGATAATACGTTGGTTTAGTAAATATGTAGGTGACATTCAATGGGCTTTGGACATCGATGGCATCAATTTTACATTAGTTTGAGATGCTTCTGAAATCATTCAGGATTCATTGACAGGGGTGATTGTCCTAATGTTGACCATTTTCTGACCTTCTTCAAGCAGGTTTTGTATTTTCATAGACTCACAGGGGGGAATTTATCAAGGCAATTGCGACAGTTTTAGCTTCTTAGATCATTTTTTTTTTTAATGTGCAAATCTGTCTTTTAACATGTGCCCCTGTTTTGACCAGAGCTTGCACTACTTTTCCAACTGCATGTGTTTTGCACCTGTTTTCATCTGCACTTGTTCTGTGGCTGTCTTAAACTGGAGCATCATCTAACAAAACAATTGCAACTTAAGACGACCCTACAATCATTTCTGTAAAAAGCGACAGTTAAGTTTTTTGCCTGGAGTTACAAGTCTTCTTTCCTGGAGTCTATTAAACCTCACTTATGAACAACATTACACTAGCATCATAAATCTGGCGCAAAGTGCATCAAATATATTCAAACTCTCACAATTGCTATGATAAATTCACCCCTCAGTTTATTGTTATGTCAACCTCTCCTGATTTTAACACAAGCCTGTTGACACAGGCCCTAACAGTGCTATTTCGTTACTCTCTTTATATTCCAAAGCCCCACATCCATTATAGGAAGATGCCATTTTCCTGTAGTTCTCTGCATGTTAATAAATATTATAATCTGTGCCAACAATTTCCGTATTCATGATAGTAAAATGTCACCATGCAATTAAAGACTGTCTCTGTCTGTGTGTTATCTCTCTAAGTATGCTTTACATTTGCTGTGTACTGTAGATTGGGTTGGCCCACTGTCTTCACTTTCTGGGTGGGTAATGACCCCAGAGTACTCTAGTAAGAGCACAAAATGACAAAGGGGAAGATACGCAGACACACCAGAAGGTGAACCTAAAATTGCCAAGGAGAGGGCATGACAAGAGCACCACACTATGAAGGGCAGAGAGATGGGTGGTACATGAGTCATAAAGGTATTAAGCCAACTGTGTGTAAGAACCCTTAAGTACTATAGTGCAGGAGACAAAAGGCTCCCTTCTTCAAACAAGAGCTTGAAGGAGGTAGAGAACACTGGGATGACAATGCTCACTAAACGTGTAATGCTTAATGAGTACAAGAAATCTCCATTACCGAATGGGAAACAAGGAGTGCTTTTTATGTTATACAGAATATATAGAGGAGTACACTTTTCACAGAAGAGTTTAAGAGTTTCTATATTGATGATCAGTATATTTTTTCACAGAAAGGTTATACAAAAAATAATATTTGTATTTCTTTACTTTGCAGGCTCAAACAGGTTCAGAAAAGAGATACAGAACTAAAAAAGATCACATGATGTGTAAAGCAATGTGCTTGTGTATTGCTTATTCATCCACAATTGGTGGCCTGTGCACAATTACTGGCACATCTACTAACTTGATATTTGCTGAACAGTTCCAAACGTAAGTAGAAGTTAGCATTCGTCCATACTTAAGTTTAACAAAACAAGAATAATATGTTAAGTGATGCAATATGTAAATGAATGTATATAAAAGAGATTAAAAGCAAAGTTATAGAATTGCATGTTGTAAATTGAAAGCTGAACTCTGGTCAGCCGTTAAAAATAACTTTTGGGTGCCCCCCACCACCACATATAGTGGAGTTCTTCTGCTCATTTAGTCTAGGGGGACTGATAAGCAGAGGAATATCAAGCCGCTTCACCAGCCAACATCGTGTACAATGTAGGACTAGTGTTAAAAACGTTAAAGCTGAACTCCAGTCAGGAGGAATATAATCTTATTAGCAATGAACATTCTTGCCTTGTGCCAAAATTCTCTTCCTTTTTTCCCAGTCTGTTTTTATCCTCTTTCTGTTTCCTCAAACAGGTCCCTTATGCCCCCTGTTGTTTTATGTGACCAGGGACCATGGCTCCCGGTCGCATTTCCTTCTATGTGTAGTTTGCAGAAGGTCTGAGTGTTGACATGCTTCTAGAGGCTGGTATGATCTTCCAAAACCCATTGCAACCCACCCACCCACAAGCTATCAATGTACAGACCTGAGCACCGCTTCACCACCACCGCATTAGCGAATTCTCATAGTCTAATTGGCCATTTACAAGTTATTAATGAACCCACCCCGAGCACCACCCTGCCCACCACCCTGCCCAATGCATCAGTGAATTTCTATGGGCTCATGGGGAAATATTATTTCCTGATGCTTCCCTTCCAGCACCGAGGCATAGTAAACTTCAGGAAGTAACTGATGATGTCACACAAACTAAAAACATGAATGGCTATAAAAGTAGGGAATTCATTGTAAGAATATAAAATCGTTTTCTTGTGCATGGGGAAAGGGTCAAAATTGGGCAGCATCCAGGAGTTCAGCTTTAATAAACATTTTCCATCAGTAGGCAGGAGATAATGATGGAGTTTTCAAATTTTTTTGGGGAGAAAAAAAATACATAGGCATTGTTATTGTAATTCCAATGTTGTCATTCTCCTTATCTGATATAGTTCAGAATGAACCATCATTTTTGCAAGGATACTGTGAACTTTTCCAGAATTAAAATTACAGTGCACAGCTCAGAAGATGGCCCTGAAGATGGCCATGTTTGTGAACATCCAAAAGTCTAGCAGACTGCTTAATATTTCTTCTGTCTAGGCTAACATTAAACAACAATGTTTGAAGAGGAATGGCTGGCTACTTGTGCCCTATGTCCTATGCAGATCACTACTCACAGTACTAGTTATTGTATCCTAATATATAGCTTGAAGCTGAACTCCAGGCATAACAAATGTTGTCTACAAAAGGCATGTGTATTGTTAGTTGAATCTTTATGTCATTTTTGTATTTCCTCAACATATAGCATGCACATTTCAGAATTTCAGTATGAAAAAACTCCTGCAACTTGCTTCTGTGCAAGAGTTTCCTGTAATTATGACCTGTGAGCACTGGTTCTTTCCCTGTGCAGTGACAGTCTTGTATTTGCCCCCCTCCTGTAGTTTTCTGCAGGCAACCTGTTGTGGATGGACCTACTGGGCCCCACCCACAACTCTGCTCTCTGAACAGGCTATGTGCAGGCCAGCGATGATGTCACTGCTACTTACAAGATAATATCAGTGTTTGTGAGGGCATCTGGTACATACAAATTTCATTTATATCCTTTGTATCAATAGAGGGATACCTTTGAATAAAGTTTTTTTGCCTGGAGTTTAAGTTTTATTATCACTTCTATTACTTTAATAAATTATGTTTCCTTAAAATGATTATCTATCCTGACAGTGGTTGCTTTGACCAAGTTGTCATTTTGTCCAGTTCTGTTAAACAAAAAGGTGGCATTATCATTTGTCTGCTGTTTTATTTTTAGACGCTATCCTAAGAGCACAGAAATTAATTTCGGAACATGGTTCCTGCTTTGCATTCCAATCAGTATCATTCTGCTCTTGCTTTCATGGATATGGCTGCAATGGCTCTTCTTAGGATTCAAGTAAGGAAATTTTAATTACGTTGGGAGCTGTGCATTATAGTAACAGGAATCAAGAATGTTAATGGCAGTAGAGTTTGCACACAATATGAATATTAGAGATTAAAGCTAAACCCCAGATGCTATTTGCAACACACATCATATGTTTATTTAAATGGATTTTCAAATATAGGTAGTATAAGTACCTCAAATCTGTCTTTATTTTAATATCCTACACAGCAGATAGCAGACTTGCAATGCGAGGTCAATTGAATTGCGAGGTCAATTGTAACAGCCAATGGGGCTCTATTGCAGTGCATACCACCAGTCTAATACTGTGAACATGATTATTATTTTAAACACATTTTAAATCATAATTGATATGTAGTATTTAATTTTAAATGGTTCATAATTCATCCGCTGATTTGTATAGCACACATTTTAGAATAGATTTGAACTTAAGAGAATTGTGTGTAAAATTAAGAGAAT